CCCTAGCTTAGGAGATGTACTGTGACATTGGAAGAAAGACGCTTGTTCCAACATGATGCGACGCGTGAGCAAGCCCTAACTGTCTGCAGAGCTCAGAAGGCCAGTGTTTGTTGATGCTGTAGCTGACCAAAGTCTGGTCATCCAGGGATATCTGAATTCAGTAGCATGTACAAAGTCATTCTTGCACTATACCTTTCTCCCCTAGACGAGGGGCAACATTTAATTTCATAAAGAAACTTGTCAAAGTGACTCTTGGCCTGTGTTTGTCTCCAACATGTCTATCTGTGTGAACTTGTTTCTCTTCAAAGTCACTGTAGAGATTCTGCTCTTCCAGCTTAAAAAAAAAAAACAAACCCACTTATCAAGAGAAGCCATGCTAAGAAGGTCACCCTTTAAAACAGCCATCCTTTGGACTGAAGACTGGTGAAGGAGAGACCATACCAGAGATGAGCAGGTTACTCAGAACACTGATCAAGGTTAGCAAGTCACCAGCTCCCAATTCCTGCTAGTTACTCAAATGGAAAACATGTCTAGGAAACATAAAAAAAGCTGCAAGGGATGCTCAAGCCCACTTTGAGCAATATGGAATTAAAGAGGAACTGCAAACACCTAGTAGTAAGAAATGTATTTGAAAGAGAACCCAGCTGCTCCTCCTAGGACCTGCCCACCGTGCTCTCCCCTGCCCTTCTTCCTCAGAAGACACACAACTCCTTGCTCTTCTCCTACCTAAGCAGAACCAGATGTGACATCACCATTCAATATGGTCATACAGAGAGTGGTGACTTTAAAAAAAAACCACCACCAAATCACAACCCAAAACTTCCCTCTCATGTAGAAGCACAAGAGATGTCTGCCCATGGAAGGTTTAGCACTTCTCCCTGCCCTCCCTACCCTGTTACTGTCACCCCCTGCTCCCTTCACCCCATGCAACAGAGGAAAGTGGGGCTTACCCCACCGGAAGCAGAGCCCTGACATGCTGACTCCCTCACAGTGACCTGAACCAGCACAAACATTGACAAATGACAGATCTGAGCTGTAAGAAAAAAAAAAAAGGCACCTCTAACAGCTGGCAGCAGCTGGGAAAGCAAGCCAGTGGGACAGTGCAGGAATGGCCTTCACACACTGCACAGAAACATATGGGTCACTAAACCTGGAGGGAAACACCAACCAGGAAAAAAAGCCCCAAAAGTCCATGTGCACATGCACGTGCGCTCACACACACACGCAGGCTCACACGCCTTTCAGGGGCACACCCCCGCCCCTGCTGCCTGACTCCAAGCTGTCGCACCCCCTGAGCCGAGCAGCACTCCCGGGGCCATCACAGCACCCAGGGCTGAGCTCCCCTCACTGCAGAGCCACAAGCACAAGACAGTCAGACGCAGCCAGCACCCCTCCGGCACAGCATGCAGTAGTTTTGTGTCTACCCTACGTGTCTGCACCCTCCTTTCCTTCTTATCCATGGCTTGTTTGTTTTGATTGGCCAGGAAGAAAGTCTTTTGGCATGGAAATAATTAGTTTTCTGTACTTATCAGCTTTGTAGTAACTGGGGAAGGAATGCTGGAGCCGGCAGTGACCCTAGGCTGGAAGGGACCTAGGGACAATTCCACCCCCCCCAACACACCCTCTCAAAGCAAGACCAAACCAACTGTGATGCTGCATCAGGTTGCTCATGGTCTTGTCCAGTTGCTGAGTGTGCTCAAGGATGGAGATTTCACCTAAAACCTCTCTGGCTCTTGGTTCAATACCTCACTGTCCCTATTATGAAAAAAATCCTCATACATTCAGTTTCCTTTGCTGCAACTTCTGCTCTGTTTTTAATTTGTACTTTGCTTTACGTCTACACTGAAGTCACTCCCATGCAAACCCTGACCTAGTCTACCAAATGGAGTGACAGTGGCAGAGTCCCCTCAAGTGCAGCGGCTCTGAAGGGCAATAAAAGGCCCTCCCCCCCCCCGCTAACACAAACGTACGAATTGCCTACTATTGTCTGTGTAGCAATACTCTGAACAGTAAGATAGGCTTCAAGTTGCTTAAATTATCAGACTAAATTTACCACCACTTCCAGAATTGACTTCAGATCTGACCAGTGCACACAAATGATTTATAGAGAGAATTTTTTTTATAAAAATCCAAGTGCCAAAACAGACTTCTCCAGCCAAACAGTGCACCAGTCGATGAAAGGCCATTCATTTCTGGTAGAGAGAAATACAGGCTCTACTTGACTGCCTATCAGTACTCTTCCAAAAAAGTGTCTTCAGTTGGGATTCTAGTCTTGCAAGAAACATTTGGAGCTAGGATCTGATCTCCTATGCAAGACTGAAATCAGGGATAAGAGCTGATCACACTGACAGAGGTGGAAACCTTTAACACAGTAGGTGGAGTTACAGCAGTGACATTGATACACAGGTAAGAACCAAACTCACTTTGCTCAACACACCTACCCACGCACCAGTGTGTCCAGGACCACTTTGTAATTCTGAAGAGGATTTCATCAGGAAATGCTATCCTTTATTTTCTACCCAGCACTACTTCCTGATCCTCTAACCCCAAAAGCTATTACTTCCTGAACAAACTGTGTATCGGATCATGTGTAACCTCCGATGGTTTTAAATTATTAGACAATCAAAAGTCATCTCATCTCCTAAGTTACTGATTAAATGGTAAAATGTACATGTGTTAGACAGTGGTAACAGACTAGTCAACACTGAATTTCCCTTCTCTTCACCCTGGCATCTGGATTTTGAATGGAGTTACTCACACTGTACTGTCAATGACAACAATCAGGGAGAATGCATGTGTAGGACAGAGAGCGTTTGCGTACACATTACGTAGATTCACAAAGCCATCATCTAAACTCATAATAAAGAGGTTTTCTGGCATATGAACAACAGGTCAAGTCCAGCTTCTATCAAGCTGCCTGAGCTTACTGGACAACACAATCTTACTAGATTCACAAGAAGAGTCCATCTGAAGCACAAACACATCTCACAAGCAGAGATGTGAGACTTCGGCACCCACTCCTCCTCCTTTGGAAATGAACCTTCTACTTGGCCAGAAATGCAGATTTTCATGCAAAATAAACTGAAGCACCTGACCCGAGTCTGAACAGCACCAATCATTCTGGATTTCAGGGTAGAACTTACCTAATCACTAAAAAAAAAAATACTTTTCTGTTGAGTTACACAAAGAGGACAAGAAGATTTGATCCAGGGGTGTTTGGGTTTTTTTTAGGGGTTTTGACTGCACCAGTTCCCCCTCTTCTGTAGCCATCCATTTAGGAAGCTTCTTGTGAAAAACAGTCACGTTTCTTAATGAGTAAGATCTGCCCTGATTTCACTTGGACATGTAAGACACGGACTTATGTAAAGCCTGTGAACCAATCAGAAGAATGAGTTGCTGAAGCTACCAGTAAAGTGAAGACAACCAGTGGCTGCTAAATAATGTAGTTTCTGCTCTGACAAAAAAACAAAACCAAAAACCAACCAATCTATTTTGAACTATTAGTATGGAATAACTGAGTCAGAAAAGGTGGGTGTATACACTCAAAAAATGCCTATGCTTCAAGTTTTGATGGCATCAAAAGCAGTACAAATTGTCTTTGTGCTAAATCGAAATAACAAACAGATCAATTCCCATGGAGCTAAAAGTTCCCATGATGCAGCCTTTAAGATCTTATCTGGTTTGTCCTTTACCTGAAGAACAGTGGGGTGCAGGGTGGGGAGGAGTCCTGTTTCTGTCTGGCCTAGTCCAGTGCCTCGCTGCTATACGCTGCAGGTAATTCCAGCTGTCCAGGACACTGCTCCGCAAAAACAGCACGTCAGTCTGTCATCCAGAAGGCAACAACACGCAGACCACCTGCATCTGGGTGTCCAGACAGCTTCCCGAGAACATCAGCGCCAGGCCCCCGTCATTAATCAGGACAACTGAAGCATCTACGAGTAACAGACATTCCAACAGACTCTCAGCTTCAGACGGAAAATGCTGCATTTCCTGGGATGTCACATTGACAGAAAATAGCTCTTCTTAATAAAAAAGCCTTTTATCTTTTGCAGTATATGTCAAAATATCAGGCCGTGTGCTTCTCCACGTTTACTGTAGTGGAAGCATATCTTCACGTAACAGCAGAATT